CTTGTGCTTGCCAGGCAAGCACTGTGCTTCTGAGCTAAATCCCCAGCCCTTGAATTTTTAAATGAAATTCACATGTGTTATCTAGAAATATTTCAGGGACAAGAATTTGAAGAGAAAATATTTTATTATGATCCTTTGTTATGAGCATTCCAAAAAATGGAACCCCAGTCATTGAATGGCTAATTTGTTTTTGGTGCTTTTGTAAATGGTATTTTTTTTCTCCAGAAAAGAACCTCTCTGTAATACAAAATAGTCCAATCCCAAAAGTCCAGCACAAGAACAGAATATTAAAAGCCATTAGAGAAATGCAAAACATCACTCTAAAAGTTAAACCTATTAGAAGAAGTTAAACCTATTAGAAGACCTTGCAATACAAACCTCAAAGGCCCTTTGAGCTTGCAGTGAAGTGTGTCAAGTCCTAAAATAAAACGATTTCCAATCCAGGCTGATATATCCTGCAAAACTATCTTTAAAAATTGATGGAGAAATAAGGTATTTTCATGGTAAAGCACACATGAAATTCATGACCACCAAGCCAGAACTCCAAACAATTCTCAAGGATATCCTACAAAGAGAAAATGAAGTTAACTCTAAAAAAAGGCCCCCCCCCCAAAAAAATAAATAAAAAAGGCCCAATAGAATGAATATACCAGGTAGGTATACAGTTAAGTACAAGGGAAAGATAGGGATCAGCAACAGAAAAATAAGTCAGTGCCTATTGGTAATAACTCTCAATGTGAATGGTCTCAGTTCCCAAATCAAAAGGCAGAGACTGCCAGAATGAATCAAGAAATAAAATCCAATAGTTTGCTGGATATAAGAAATACATTTAACCCCAAAAGAAATTCACAGACTAAAAACCAAAGAATAGAAAACCATTCCAGGCAATGTAAACCTGAAAAAAAAAAAACCAGGTGTAGCTAGCCTATATTCAGACAATCTCGAGTTCAAGTCAAAAACTGATGAAAAGAGGCAAAGAAGGTTACTATATATTGGTTAAGGGAACAATCCAGCAGGAAGAGATAATAATTATTAATATATATGCACTGAATAATGGTGCACCCAACTTTATACAACAGAGACTACTGGACATAAAAGATCAGATAAACACAAACACAATTAGAGTGGAGGGCCTAAATACTCCTCTCTCACAGACAGTGATAGACATGAATAGGCAGATAAACTAGACAAAAAATCAACAAAGAAATATCAGAGTTGAAAAAAACCCTTGAACAAATGAACTTAAAAAATATATACTGAGTAGTCCACACAACAACAGAATACACTTTGTTTTCAGCAGCACATGGAAAGTTCTCCAAAACAATTCATATACTAGCAAATAAAGCAAGCTTAAGTAAATGTATAAGAATTGAAATTAACCATGCATACTGTCAGATCATAGTGCAATGAAGTTAGAAATCAATAATAAAAGAAAACACAGAAATTATGCAAATGCACGGAAACAAAGCAATATACTCTTAGATAAACTATGGGATATAGAAAAAATCAAGGAAGAAATAAGACAGTTTCTAGAACTAAATGATAATGCCAGTATGACATATTGGAACTTATGGAACACAATAAAAGCAGTTCTACAAGGAGAGTTTACAGCTGTGAATGTCCACATCACAAAAACAGACTGAACCCAAATAACCTAACGATGCACCTCAAGGTTCTAGGAAAACAAGAACAATCCTAACTCAAAGCTAGTAGAAAGAGGGAAATTATAAAGATTAGAACTTGGAACAAAACCCCCAAAAGAAAGAATCAAGGAATACAAGAGTTGGTTTTTTAAAAGAAGAAACAAAATAGGTGATCTCATCCAAAAAGGAGAGAAAAGAGCCAAATCAAGCAATTAGAAATGAAAAAGGTGAAATCTCCACAGACAGTGCCAAAATAAAAATGACAATTAACAACTACTTTGCACACCTATATGTCAATAAATTGGAGAGTTCAGAAGAAATAGATAGATTCCTAGATACATATGAATTACCAAAACTGAACTGAAAAGATTTAAAAACCATGAATAATCCAACAATAGGCAATGAAATTGAAGCAGTACTAATAAACCAACCAAGAAGAGCTGAGCTCTGAATAGATTCACAGCTGAATTCTACAGGAGCTTTAGGGAAAATCTAACACCAAACTCCTCTTTTGAAATCTTTCAAAAATGGTTGTGCCCACCCCAGCTATGGTCCTTGCCACTGCTTTGTAAGTTGACATCTGAGTCTCCTGATGTGGCCTGATCCTGGTGGCTGTGGCAGTGGTTGGAGGGTCCACCACCTGGCGAGACTTCTGTTTACTAGCTGTGCTCCTTCCTGGCTAGAGGTATTGCCAGATGCTGTGCTAAAACAATTGCTCCTTTGGATCAAGTAAAGGTTTTATTACATGCTCACAATTGCTATTACAAGCACTTAGAAGTATTTTCTGCATTGTGTGCTGTTCCCTGAAAGGAAGGATACCTTGGGTTGTATAAAGGAAATGGTGCCATGATGATGTGAATCTTTCTCTTTTTCTATAGTGCCATCCAGTTTATGGCATTTGAGCAGTATAAAATGTTGATTACTACAAAGCTGGGAATTTCTGGTCATGGTCATAGATTGATGGCTGGACCCTTGGCAGGCATGGTGGCAGTTATCTGTACCTACCCTCCTGATGTGGTCTGGGTATGCCTAGCCTCGCAGGTGAAAGGGGAACATACCTACACAGGAATTATTCATGCCTTCAAAACCATTTATGCAAAGGAAGGTGGTTTCCTTGGTTTTTACAGAGGCCTGATGCCAACTATAGTAGAAATGGCTCCATATGCAGCAGCTACCCTTTGATGTAACTTGTCAGCAAATGCAATTAGGAACTGTCCTGCCAGAATTTGAAAAGTGCCTTACCGTGTGGGAGACTATGAAGTATGTCTATGGGCTCCATGGGATCTGCAAGGGACTGTACCCTGGTGTATCTCTTAATTACATTTGCTGCTTATTTGATGTGCAAAAAATGTTCAGAGTTCATTTTTAGTTCATTTTTTGTCAAGCACATGAAATATATAAGAGAAAAGGATACAATACCTTTGTTGTATATATAAATAACTTCCACTTCATTTAGTAATAATTTTATAATCAAATGGCATTTAATACTAGCTCTGTAATATAAAGGGTGAAAAACCACATGAAGTACAAGTAGAAAGTTATTGGCTGTTACCCAGCTATTTTAGATCTGTGGGCAATTTTTGAAATAGAAAAAAATGGTTCTCATTGGAACCCTTGGCCAACTATTTAAAACTTGAAACAAAACACAAAGTGCATTTTTGTCTAGGTACTAGAGGTTTTATGTGTTGAGCAATGTATTATATTTTATTGAGTTAACTGATCAAAACAGATGCTCACTGACATTCTACTTAAAATGTTTATTGCCTAAATTTTCTTTTACCAGAAGCTGCAAATCTATTTTCCAAGAAATGCCAGTTGTTGCAGGCCCCTGAAATGATCACAAACAAACCAGAGAAACTCAATGCTTCTCTGATACAGGTGAGTATGCCTTTTGAAAACACCAGACCCTTGCAAAATACCCTAAACAAAACCAGAAAATAAGCTAAGAAAATGTAACTAAAGCTTATACAGCAAAGGTAGTTAATTAATCTTAATCTGTGAGGGACTCTGACATAAGTAAGAAACATGGGCAACGTAAACATCTCATAAATGAAGAAAAACTAGTTGACAGGCAAAAGAGAAATTTTAAAGTAAAGAAATTAAATCAAGAGATGGTCTTTTAAAAATTTCTGTTAAACAAGTTGTTAGCAAAGATTAAATAGTATTTCACGTTGTCCAGGGCATTTGAGTGCATGCAGTTCTGACTTCTGCTTGTAGGGGTATTTTGACATACTTTGTGGCTAGTAATTAAGCAATATATATTAAGACCTTAAATGCATATTGATCTAGCATTTGTGCTTCTAAGAACTTATCAGAAGGAAATATTCGGGTAAGTTTTCGAGGAATTATGGCAAAAGATATTTGTTGTGATACTATTGATACAGCAAAACAGAAAATTGCTTAAATGTTCATCATTAAGGAGTTGGTTAAATAAATTATAGTACACATGCTCAGTAAAATATAATGATGTGCATCTATCTTTATAAGTATATGTTTATGATATATTGTTAAAGCACAGAAGACAAAACAGTATGTATGATGTGATTTAATTTTGTTTAAGTTACTACCCCTAGATAGTAAGATTACTATTCTTATATGTTTTGATTTTTTTAATAAAAAGAATTTTAAATATAAAAGAATAAAAAAAGAAACATTGAGTTTAAACTTATAAGCCATATGAGTTGTCGGTTGTTATTTACATCACAGAAATATTTTTCCAAACTGATTTCTGAAAGGATGATGTTATCTTAGCTAATTAGCCCCATGATGGAGAGCTGTAGGAAAAAATACTTTCCATATTTGGGGTCTCATTTAATCCTCACAAATGCCCTGTGAATAGATTTTATGATCTCAGATGTGATAAATGGGAGAGCTGGGATTCGGTCTCAGGTTTGATCTTTGTCCAGAGCCTGGATTAGTTACATTGCATGAAGCTTACTCAGCTATTAATAAGAAATAAACCTCTCTCTGAAATCAAATGATAAGCAAATGGAAGAATGGATCCAGGTTTTAAATATTTACCTGCCAACATTAGAAGGAGCTAATTGTGCATAAAATAGAATATATATTTAAGTATGTGAAGCATTGGAAATGTGACTCTTTCAAAACTTGAGATATTTAGATTCAGATGACATTATACTTTTGAACTTTACGTAGGACACATTTATCAAAGGCTGCTTCTTAATAAGGCATAAGATCTTCTACTTACTTCTTCTTGGTGTCCTTGTGGTCCAACATGAAGAATTCCGCTTGGATCATTTCTGGAGTCAGTGTAACTTCTGTACTGTGATCACAGAGCTCACTGAAAAGTAATAAGATAGTTAGTAGGAACTGTTTTTCCTTTCCGACATAAAAATAGACTGAAATACTGTGGTCATTTAGGAGTTATGCGTTCCTTGTGGCTTTCAACATTGGTTTCATCTACTTTTGTTGAGTCTATGCTCAGAGAAACAAAGGTTGATAAATTGCTTTCCGCCAGCAAATGATAGGAGTAGTTATTTATAATCACAGAATGAAAAGCAACTATTAAAAATGGGGTCACAGATTTCATATTCTTTTTAAGTGCTATGAAGCATTTGGGCCACAAAAAAAAAAGCCCAAATGATTGAAATCATTCACACTATGTTCTCTGGCCACAATGGAATGCTATAGAAATCAATAGCAAAGAATAACTAGAAAGTCCCCAGTTGCTTTAGAATTAAACAATATATTTCTAAATATTCTATGGGGAAAGAAATTCAAGGGATCTAGGTTATCTTTCATCTTTTGGTAGTTTTCCGTAGAGCAGAGGTCAGCAAACTTTTCCTATGAAGATTTTTTGGGTTATACAGCCTCTGTTATAGCTACTCAGCTCTCCTATTATAGCATGGAAGGATCCATAGAAAATACATAAATGAATGGGTGTGGCTGTGTTACAGTAAAACTTTATTTATAGGCACAGATGGGATGCCAGATTTGGCCATGGGTCATAGTTTGCTGATCTGTGGCCTAGAACTTTGTTGTTTGATAGTTAAAGCTGAGTCCTGCTTGTTTGGCTTTCAGCTGGAAAAAGTGGGGAGAAAGAGCAAGAGAAGAGATAGATAGATCTCAGGAGCAGGCTATCTCATCTGCTTACATCCCATTGGCAAAGGCCTCATCAAATGGAGAGTTTAGCTTCAAGGGAGGCTGGGAAACTAAGTCTCTAGTTGCAGTGACTCTATGACTTTAGAAAAGTGAAGTGAATTTTTAGACATCAGTCATCTCCACCACATTCAGGTAAAGTGAGACGCTTTCAAGAGGAGCGAGGACAACAAAAGTGTGAAAATTTGGGGTCACAGTTAGGAACTCTTTATCCACCAACAAGACAGAAACAGAGGAAGACATGGCAGTTTTCTGTTAGGAAAATGCCTTTGAAAATAGCAGAAGGTTCTTCCAGTCCCGTAAGGCTGAAAACCGACCCTTACTGAGCAGCTGCTCTACGTGAGTCACTATGCTGATGCTTTGTAGACATTATCTTTCCATTAGCAGTTTCCTTGTCTCTAAACTGGGCATGGTAGCAGGACTTTGTCCTGGGGATGACATGAGACTGCTTGCCAAGCTTTGTCTGATACACATTTGGTGCTTGATAAAGGTTAATTACTGTAATTACCATTCTCCTCATCAGCATCGTATTTTCTCTTTTAATTTTGATGACCTTCTATGAAGGACCATTATCCCCATTTCAGAGATGAGAAGACTGAGTCGCAATAATGTGAACATCAGTGCTGAATGGAGGAGGGCTGTTTTGTTTTGGTCTGGCAGATGTCTCCCCAGTGGTCTGAGCCAGAGAACCCTCATTTTTCTGAAGCTTAAGCAAGCATGTGGTATCCTGCAAGGGTGGCAGCCTCTTAAATAAGGCCCTGATGCAGTGGCTCGAGTGGGAGGCTTTTCTGCCTTCCTTTGCAGACCTGGATTCCAAATTTAGAGGCCGAAGTTCTGCCAAGTCTCTGTGCATGTGGGCAGGTCTTAGAAGAACTGGATATATGCCTCGGATATTTAGGATTTCACTAATTGACTATTTACATGTAAAAATGTCCTGAAAGCACAAATATGGTATGTGTTTATAAAAGAAAGAAATAGAAACTAAATGCCACAAATACTTATTTTTGAGCATACACTGTGGAAAAGACACTGTAGTCTGGCAAGTAAGAAACCACTTCCTGTGATCACAGGATCTTACTCCAACCATGAATACAGCAGTTCTGTGCTTGAGCTACCAGGACTCTTTGCTCCATCACAATCAATGGTATAATTTAGAACATGAAAGTTTGAGTTTATTAAGCGGGGAAACGAATAACAGGGCTAAGGAGTGCAGATCAGCAAGAATGCTACAGAAGGATAGGTCCAGGTGGACTCAGCTGACCCAGCTCCTTCCTCTCTCGGTTGCAGGAATTGGGCCTTAATCCCCAAATATCAAAGTCCCTGAAAGCCTAAAATCCTTAAAATCAAATACTGAAAATAAAATTCTTGGAAAAAATTTAAAAACTCATTAAAGACATTTATTTATATTTAAAAAGGGGACTTATTTGTGAAATACACAAAAATAGGACAGAACACTTTGTAGGCCACTTTGATGGATTATAATAACATATATTTTTTGCATGCATAAGCCCTCAGCTATGTGAGTAACAGTATGGATATGAGAGGTATGAATGGACAGGTCATATTCATAATGAAATAGATGAAATGTAGCTGGGCATGGTGGCACATGCCTGTAATTCCAGTACTTGGGAGGCTGAGGCAGGAGGATCACTGCAAGTCTGAGGTCAGCCTGAGCTACAAAATGAGTTCAAGGCCAGCCTGAACTGCATAATAAGACCCTGCCTCAAAAAGACAAAAAAAAGTGAAATGTGGAAATGCACATTAATATGGTTGATAATTATGTATATCCAATTTTATAACTACAGCCATCACTTGAACAGTTGTACAAATAGGACATCTATTAATTTATTGGGGAAGTTTCAACATATTTATGTACATGCACAAGTACAAGGCATGCACAAAAAGTCAAATATAATAATGTACTTTCACATCAACTAATTTCACTTTCAGTCAAATTTATAAAAAATGTGTAAGATGAATCAACTCTACGTACAATTTATATGCTCAGTATTGGCAATGATGTGAAGATGAAGTATGTAGCACAGAAATTTGTAAAGAATAATACTGACAATGTTAAATAGTGGGAAAAACATGAGAAAAGAACCTACCATCTCTACCAAGAAAACTGAAAGCAGAATTTGACATCTGAGAAAAATGTACTACAGGGATATAATGGGGCAGTTGCACAGACACAGTCTATAAGAGCTGTTCCTTTTCACAATCATTAGCTACACTTTGAAGTCTTGCCTGAAGATGAATAGCTGCCTTGTTGTTCTTTATTTAGAGCATGGCTGCCCTCAGAGAATGTGCTCACATTCATTTCCTCTGTGCTACTCTTTTTGAAATTCTTCTGTGATTCAACATATACTGACATGGGCATTCCTATTAAAGTTTTCCATCTTCTACACCATGCTTTTATGTTGTTTTGGGAATGCGGACATCCATCCCACCTGCATTCTCACACAGGCCGCAAATAATACCAATAATAAACAGCAACACTGTTGTCTCAGTTGCCTTCATAGCTTACCATGCACACAATTATTTTTGAATCACTCAGTAATTCAATGGCTTCTTCAGGCTGTTGTGACTTTAGCTCACTAAAAGCCTTGAGAGGCCAAAAAGATATGCTGGAGCCACTTTATATCAGGCAAAATTTCTGGAGGCAAGCATAATATTGATACCAAAACCAGAGAAAGACCCAACCAAGAAAGAGAACTACAGACCAATCTCCCTAATGAATATAGATGCAAAGATACTCAATAAGATACTAGCAAATAGAATGCAGCAAATTATCAAGAAAATCATACATCACGACCAAGTTGTATGTGGTTTGATCCCAAAGGGCTCATGTGTGAGAGGCCTGATCCACCAGTGTGGTGGATGTGAGGTGCTGCCTCAAAGGGAGGTTGTCGGATTATTGAAGGTACAGTCCTTGGAAGGGAGTAAAGTCACTTCTGGGGACCTTGAGTTAGTTCTAAGGAAATCAAGTTTTGTCATAGTAACAGGAAACCAATATAGGAGGGTATATCTAAAACTTTATGTTATTTTGGTTAATTAAACTAGAAAACCTATATGGATTTTAATTTTGCCTGATATAAAGTGGCTTCTAAAATATGGAACTTCTAAGCTTCTCTCTGCATATTTTTTTTTAAGGGAGAAAGTAATGAGTGTAATCTAGAGGTATTTGCAAACAGGGCAACAGTAAGTGGTCTACCTGGGGACACGTGGCCTTCTGATTGAAAAGCTGTTCCGGGACAGGTGCACATGTACTGCTTGCCTCAGGTTTCCCATATCAGCAATGTAGCTGGATAGTGGGGGATGGTCCCCCCAGGCAGCATATTTTTGGGCTGGTATTTAAACAGGTTAACAGCCAGGTGTGGTGACGCACGCCTGTAATACCAGCACATGGGAAGCTGAGGCAGGAGGACTGTTAAGATTTCAAGACCAGCCTGGGCTACAAAGAGAGCTCAAGGCCAGCCTGAACTACAGAGAGAGACCCTGTCTCAAAAAGACAAAAATAAATAAATAAATAAACAAAAAGGTTAACATAGTCAGATATGTTGGCAGTTGGCAAATTGAAGGACTCCCCTGACTGGCACAAACTCTAGCTGTGCCACTGCACTGTTGGGTCTCTGATCATCAGGTTTAGATGGCCACAGGGACAGGAGTTTCAAAGGACAGGGGCTCCCTGGCTGTTGAACACTGACCCATAAAATGAAACAAAAGGCCCCTGTGTTCAGGCTTACATTGCTTTATTCCTATCCAAACCCTATCCATCTTTCATATAATAACCCAGGTCCACATGAGCATGGGGTCCTCCCAAGCCCATGACCACCTCTGCTCCCCCTCCCAGGAGCCCTAGGAGCACCTAACAGTCAGCACACAGGGGACTATCTGTTTTCCATCATTGATATGGGCAATGGTATATTTGGGCTCCACCTTGTCTGTCAAAAGGTCAAAAGCCCAGCACTGTGTTCTGAAGTCCCTCATGGCACCTTGCGTATTTTTAGAAAATAGACCACATCAGAGATCAAAGGCAAAGACAAAAACAAAAGTACCCTTCAACAGCTTCCAGTCTGTCTTCTTCCGGTAAGGCGTCCAGAGGGGCAGGGATGTCTACAGGAAGCATGACAGGGTTATAGGAGTCACAGCTGTGGAAGAATCACACGGTAGCCAAAGACAGTCACATAAACAGTCTTTTCCAAAGCATTTTCACTTTCCCACGGGTGAGGCCTCTGTCCACCCTCCCTGACTCCTGAATATCACCTGTGTTTCTGGAATAGGCAAAGGCAGGGGGTGCAAGAGGCCCATGTGAACCTTAGAGAAAGCTGCCAAGTGTAGAAGCAGAATCAGAGGAGGGGCTGGGATGTGGCTCCATGTCAGAGCACTTGCCCAAGGCCCTGCCTATCCCCTGCACTGAAAAGAAAAAGTAGTGTCAAGCATGTAAAATTATGTTATTTCCTGGAGTGGGGGAAGGGCTAGTCAGATAATTTCCTTTTTGTCCTTAATGTTTTCCCCACCTTTGTCCTTCTCCTTAATCATGCTATCCAATTGCAAACCTTCCCCACTCTGCTAGACATTGTTTGGTATCATAACTTTAGGGCTTAATATAAAAGTTCCTAAGTGTTAATTAAGGGCATTGAATGATTAAGTTAGGGAGAAGAAAAATGTGTCATTATTTTAAAAGTTGGCAGCACATTTGTTTTAAAATGGTAGTGAAGCAGGAGGTAGAGAGGAGAAATTCCTGAAGAGGAAATTGACTCTCAAAATGGCTGAGGAGGGCTTGTTTCTAACAGCTGGACCACAGCTGATCAAGAAAAGAGTGTACCTGAGCTATAGGCTTCTTGGGGGCCCAAGATAAAGTCTTTGGAAGCTACAGAGTGCTCTCACCTCTAACTAAGCCATGCCTAGGGGTGCATGTGCTATAGAATATCTTAAACAACTGAAAGTGACCCCAACTGAATTATAATTTATTAACCTCTTTTACATTGTCGTTTTGACCTCCCACCTCCTGCATGGACTTTGGGTATGATGACAGTTCTTTAAAGGTCCATAGAAGGACTACCCACACCCCCACAGAAAGGAGACTTTTCCCTGCATGAATAGTACCAGTTCAAAGGGTTACTTCCTTCCTGTGAAAACCACATATAGGCTCTGACATCTGGCTTCTCCTAGGGCACGGGCTCTTTTCACTGGCCTGATTCCACTCCGAGTGTGTCTTTGCTAATAAATATAGGCTTTCATTTCTACTGTGTGTCTTGCTCAGTTCTCTGTTTGTGATACCAATGGTCCATGGCAGTCACCACAGTTGGAAACAGTAGAATGAAAACTTGCTGTTTCTGGTCTCAATTCCTTCTTTACAAAATTTTTACAATATTAAGGGCATAACAACTGATCATATAACAGCAAAGGGAGCAGGAGAAAGGACACAGTGGATACAAGTTTTCAATAGGTTTGTGGAAGAAATTTTTGAGGCTTGAAGGAGTTCTGCCTCATAAAAAGGAGCAGAGAGTAACCCATGGAAGGGAGGTGACCTGCTCCCAGCTGTGGGCTGAAGGGAAGGTGGGAGCAGGAACAGAAAGAAGAAGTTGACTGAAGGGTTCTTTGTGTGTGCACACAGGACTTTGAGATAAGAGTCATCCCTGTTTTGTTCTTGGACAAAAGTGTATTTGCTCCCCAAGTGTGGAGATTGGCAGAGAAAACTATGGCACCATGATTTTTACACAGGGAAAAGAGAATGGGGAAGGCATCTGTGAACTGATACATAGAAATTTCCAGGAGATATTATTATAGAGAGCTAAACTAGGTAGAAATAATATAGGAAGTCAGACAGGGATAGACCCTCAAAGAAGTCAGTGTTGAAGATGGGACACATTGCAACCGTGGGTGGAGGCGCATTTATTGAAGGCTAGGCCTCAAGAGAAAGATGAAATGACTACATCTCCATACTTGCCTGAGGGATAAAGGAGGAAGACTGATACTCTAAAAAGGCATTAATCACCTAGGTGAGGGGCCAAGGCGTCTTTGACCCACCCCTCCCAGGAAAGGTCCTTGTTCCTTCCATGCACACTTGCTATGTGACTTACTTCCCCACTGGATCAATATTACCTAAGTGACTATACTTGTAATCTTACTGGTTGATTATAGTTTTTTCCACCTTATACCCAACTTGTGACTTTGTTCTATAAAGCCTCCCTTGTAAGTAAAGTCCAAGGCAACCCACTTTTGGGGTCCCTTTCTGTCTCTCTTAGGCAGAAGCTACCTTTCCCACAAAAAATATTTCCAATTTTTAACCTCCATTGATCCTAGAATTCATTCTTCACTTTTAGGGCACATGAACTCAGCATATTGGACATAGAGCAGGTTGGTAGCTATAACATATCCCTTATAGCATTTGGAGGTCCTATATCATCTCTATATCAATATTACTAAGTGAGAAAAGGAAATTAGGAAGAGCATATATAGAGTGCTAGTTTTTGTATAAGAAACAAAGAAAAAATAAGTACATTCTGCTCAGCATTACAAAGAGGAACATGGGAAGGATAAGTCAGAAGGTCAAGCTGGTTCCCTTCCCTGGGAGAAATGGGGCCTTAGCACAGTGGGAGGGAGGGACATTTCCCTGAGTAGGACCTTTTGTGTAGATTTGAATTTGGACATCGTGTTGATGTTCTACTTTTTTTTGAGACAGCATCTCACTATGTCGCCCAGGCTAGCCTTGAACTTGTGATCCTCTTGGCTCAGCCCACTAAGCGCTGGGATTACAAGCCTGTGCCGCTATGCCTAGCCAGATGTTCTACATAATGAAAAGATAAAACTAAATCAAAAAGGGAAATTTAAGAAAACTGAAACAGTTCCACAATCATAACAGATAGAAAGAAGGAGAAAGAAAAGAAGAAGGAAAAGAAGAAAAAGAGTGAGGCAGGGAGTAGGGGAGACAAGAGAAAGAAACAGAGAAAAAGGGAAAGAAATAACCTAATTTAAGTATTTAACTATACCTACATACTCATGGTCTTGGGTGGAATAAAGATTAAGGAGATAACTGCAAATAAATCTGAGTTTTACTTAATGAGGGTTGTTTATTAAAGTTTTTACAGATGAGATGATTCTTAAACTGTTTTAGATGTGTTATAAGATTGAGTAATGTATTCTGTTAGGAGCCAGGGATCTCACAGGTGGAAAAGGGATATAAATATGGAATGGGGAGAAGCAAGTATTAACTGTGCATGCAGAGTGAAATTGCAGGGTTTGGTATAATCCAGGACTTTGTATGTGCACATGTGTTTACATGCAGATGTATGTACATATTACATACATATCTTTGCATATGTGTTAAGAACCCCCTGCTTTATCTGCTTAGGAGGGCAAAATACAAAAACATCCCACTAGCAGTGTGTCCACGTAGCACCGATTTTATTCTGTAATCCCATTCCAGGTTAGCTCTACTCACCAACTTCATAACAAAGAATCGGGTTCTAATTGACTGTTCTCCCAAACACATGGAGAGTACACGTGGTCAGAAGGTATTTCTATTGAGAAGAGGGACTGAGGAGGGGCCAGTTGGACCAGCCTCCAGAGACTCACTGGTCTGGGATGACAGGGTGGCAACAACAGAAATTTTCATAAAACAAAATGAATTCCATTTTAAGTTCTGAGATCATGGTCCTATTATCATCATCATTACTGTTGTTTGTGTTAATATATTCTTTTAAAATGGAAATGGTGATTGCAGTACATGGTAGTTGGATGTTTTTGTTTTGTTTTTACCTTAATATCCTTATTTGACAAAGTAAAACTGTGATAACCTTAAATCAGTTCCCAAAATTATTCTGAGTATTTTACTCATCTACAAAATCTGAAAGTCTAGGCACTACTGGATTAGATAATTTCTTTGGTTGCTGCTCAATCTCAGATTGTATGGAAGTCCATAGAGATTCAAGAAATTCTCCTAAAGAGTAAGGAAATTCACTAAAGAGTAAGGAAATTCACTAAAGAGTAAGGAACTCAATAAGCTGTTTGGATTCTATGGATACAAAGACAGCCTGGAATAAATAAATGGTAAATAGCCATACTGTATGGTTTGATAAGATGCAGCTATATCTCAAGGTCAAAAGCTAGAAGAAAACCTCAGAAGTTATAGAACGGGATTTATTCAAGCAAAGTGGTTGCAAAATTGAAAAGTAATGAATGGATTTGTAGGAACCTATTACGGATGGAATGTCTGTGTCAAATGTAACTCCCAATGTGGCTGCATTTGAAGTGGTGCCTTCTGAAGGTGATTAGGGCCTAAGGGTGGAACCCTTGAGAATGGGATTAGTGCCCTTAGAAGAGAAGTCCTGGAGAGCTGCCTTGCTCCTCTTTCAGAGCGAGGACTCAGCAAGAAGGCATCACTTATGGATCAGCCCTCACTAGACACCAAATCTGCCAGTGCTTTGATCTTGAACTTCCCAGTCTTCAGAACTGTGACAAATATATTTCTATTGTTTACAACCAACTTACACTATGGTATTTTGTTATTGCAGCCTGAACTGATTAAGACAAGTTTAAGAGCTTAGTGTGGTGACACAGCCTATAATCTCAGTTCTGTGGGAGGCCGACGTAAGAGCATTTCGAGTTGAGCCCATCCCAGGCAACTTAGTGACTTACTGAGATCCTGTCTCAAGATAGAAAAATAAAAAGGGTTGGGGATAGAGCTCATTGCTCAGGTCCTGGGTTCAATTCCCAGTACCAGGGGTGAGGTGGGAGGCAAAGTTTTAAAAAGGAGTCACCATTATTATTCTGTAATTGTTTTTAGAAATAATAGCTAACCTAGAATTCAGTGGAAATCCATGATGAGAATGTAGAAGACCCCTGGATTTTGAGCTGTTATGTAACTGCAGTTTATTTAAAACAAACAGGCCCAAGACAGCATTTGGGCACAGAAACAGAGAATAACAAACCATGGTGGGAGAATTTCCCTTAGTTCATGTAGAATTCATGTGTAATTCACGGTGATTGCAAGCCCAAGGCAAATGCATCTGACTAGTTCTTTAAAGAAAAGCCTTGGGAGATTTTTTTGCCCCCTAAGGACATCGCTTTGGAAACAAAAATAGGCCATTTTTATGCTAATTCTTGGGACTTGTGTAAGTTCATAGCAGGTAGACATGGGCAGTCCCCACTTCCTATCACTTCCCATTGTGCTTATTCAGTCTCCTGACAGCACTGCAGACCCACTGCATGGTCCTGGTTACACGAGTCACACCTAAAGTGTCCTCTTATCCTCAGCAAAATGACAACCCACCGAGGTGGTGATGGTGCCATCTGGTGGCAAAGGAGTGACTGCAAGGTTTGGCAGCAGGCTGAAGACGGCAGTTATCAAGGTGTGCAGCAGCCACGACGCAAGGTGCTTCATATGATCATTTAATTTCGGTCCATGCAACAGCCCAGGGGGGACCTCATCATCACCGCTGTTTCACGGATAGGGAAATGACCATTCAAAGGGCGTAAGTAAGAAGCAAGTCGCCCAACCACAGAGGGCCGGGACACCGCCCACCAGGACCAGAGGCAGGTCTCTAACACCCAGGCTTTCCTTCTTACTACAATGACATTGTTTCCCCTGGCTCTGGAGATTTTAGATTTATTTAAAAGTAGGCTAAAATAAAGAACAAGATGGCCGAGTTTATTTTTAGGTGGCAACAGGTGAATGAAGAACAATGGGACAGGCACAAGCCTGTCTGAACTCCTGTCGTGCCCCAAATCCCAGCGGGGTGCTTTCTGTTTATCTCAGGCAAAGGGGAGCAGCAGAGAAAGGGAGTTCCTTGGAAGAGACAGTGCATGGATGAGGCTCAGGGAGTACAGTCACATCTGCCTCAATTCAAGGGCAGGTTTTCTGGCTGGTGATGAAGGAAGCAGGCAAAGAAAGTGTTCTAGGGTCAGAAACAGATCTCCTCAAATACCTGGGGTGCAGCGGGTAGTGGACATGGGGTAACTGAATGCTGGGTGCCTTAGTCCACCTTCTGCTGTTAACAACACCAGACTGGGTAAATTGTAACCAGAGCGGTTTATTTTGGCTCACAGTTCTGTCCAAGGTTGAGGGCTTACCTGTGGGTAGTCTCTATCTTAGAAGGGTCAGGCAGGGCTGAGAGTGCCAGAGACTGGAACCTCTTCCAGTGCATGATTCCAGGAATAATGTCCTGTGGTAAAAGTTGGCACAGGGTTATGATGTAGAAAGGAACTGTCTGGTAGGATAAAGTCTAGGAAGGACTTTATTTCGTCCAGATGACTGTTTTCAAGTCACAAAGGTTAGTTCCAAAAGTTAGCACTTCATTAAGATTAATTAAATGTTCGGAAGCAAAAAGGCAATTGCTCCAGCAAGGGCACTAAAAAAGGTAACACAGAATGAGAAACAAAGGAGGGGAGACCCCCCTAAATTACAAGCAACATGCTGCAGTGATGGAGGGAGGATGGGCCCTGAGATCTGTGTTGATGACTATGAATGAGGTGCTAATGTTGCGTTTGCAGAGCACTGGGAGCTCATCAAGGGGCATGCCACACAGGGGACAGGCTGTGCACATGCACTGGTGACATGATGATGACTGCTCTCAGGAGACCGGGAGCTCAGCTGAGTGCAGGGTGTGTCATGGGATGAAAGAGGCAGGCAGGTGATCAAGAGCCTCATGGGTGATACCAATGCGCTTGGAGCCCCTCCTGCTGGCAGCAGAGCTCCACTGAGGGCTTCTAAGCAGGAACCACCATGATCAGACTTGCTAAAGGCAAATTTCCACAGAGGCCTGATTGGAGCAGTGTGAGCCATGGGGGAGACCAAGGGGAGACTGGCAGGCTGTATAAACGGCAGGCTGGTTAGGTACAGGAAATGAACCAGGGGGAGGGATTGAGGGTCACACGAATTCCATGCACAATGCCAAATTCTACATAAAGTGTCACCCACAGAACAAAAAGGCAAGTGGGTTACACAGGGTGAGGAGGCAGTTTGGGGCACGACTGGTGGAAGCTGGGCAGAGATAATGATCTGGGTTGGGGACTGATTGAGTTTGAAGGGCCTGTGGGGAACCCTCAAGGGTTCCTGGATATTTAGGACAGGTTGGTCATGTGGAGAGAGAAGGAATTCTTTGGAGCCAGTGCTTTACTGCTCAGTGTCAGCTATGCTTTTGTCCATTCTGATGATTCTATGCTTATTGGGATCAAGATAGAAGGAGGTCAGGCCACGGGGTTCTGCTTAGGAGGTGACCATTTTTGCATGGTGGAAATATGAATAAATGAGCATTAGATGTCGCCTGTAAGGGGGAAACAGTGCGGATGCTGGAATATGGGCAGTGGGGAGCCCGAGAGGTGGGTTCTGACAAGACAGACGTGGTCCTGAGTCTCTGCCTGGATCCCAGGAGGCTGTTGGCAGGAGAGCTGCTGTTTGCAGCTGTGGTTAGAAGCCTCTTTTTTTCAGTCCCAGCTGTGGCCCTCTGACTTTGTCCCTTGCCTCTCCCTGTAGCCCAAGGCTAACTCTGCCAGGGACCAGGCTGGGGGGCATTACCGTGTGATGGAGAAACTGCTTCTGGGTGAGAGGAATGCTGGAGCCACGGTGCACCTCGTGGGTGAACTTGTACTTGGGGTGAGTGCACAGATGGTAGTCTATCAATGTTTCTGAGTAGGTCAAAGGGTGCTTCACAGCAAATAAACCCGGGTTGGGATTCTGCAGAGGAGAGGAGAAAAAGAATTTTCTGTTTACTGGTTTCCAAGTGAGGACCAAGGGTGGGGTCAGCTAACATCCTCTGTGGCTCCTACTGGCACTAACACTCATCTAGAAGAGAGAAGCTGAAGAGCAGAGATGCCCAGAAGTTGGCCACATTTTAAATGGTCACAGTCATTCATAAATGCTGCTTTGCTGGCTTAAGGGCTTCTCTGCATGCCTTGTGAATTTACTAACCTCACATGGAAACAAGTATAACTGAAAATCACGTCTGAAAGTATTTGTTTCTAGTTATGATGGATTAGGGGAAATTATTAAATAAGCAAACTAGTTTTCAAAAGCAAATGAGCTTCTGGTTCTGAGAAGAAAAATAGCCTCTTAGAAACTGCTTTAAAGAGAAGACAGAGAGTGACATTTGATACACTGGAAATACCAACATTTAACATTGTTTAGGTAATGTTTTTAATTCCGGAAGGCTCCATTGGGATGTAGTATCTGGTTTTTAGTGAGATTTTCTTTCTTTCTTTTTTTTCCTTAAAACTAATTCTCTGGCGGAACTAATGGAGTCACAGAACAATTATATCACAATACTAAAATCTAGAGCCTTTTAATGTTCTTTCCAGAGCTTGTGCAACAAATACCCTACTTTTGTCCCAAACAGCATGTATTTTCCTTGACAGTTGTTTAATCTCAAATGTTTAAGAACCATTAGGCTAAGATTTTGTTCATTTTCTTTGTGTGATTTTTCTGACAAAAAACCCCCCACATAATTCCACTTGACTTATGGAGTCCTGATCTCACTGCCAAGAAACAAAGGCCCCCTCCCTTGACTTCCATTTAAAGGACTTCTAGCTAGATGGGAGGCATTTCAACTACCCCATGCACATCTGGGAGTGTCCAGATGTGGCGTGCAGGTGCGTCAGGAATGCAGGAGAGACTGTGGGCTGTGGGTGCAGAGAGGCTGAGCTGCAGTGCGGCCAGGATGAGGGTCTTGGGGAAGATGCAGAGGGGGCTCTCTGCTGAAGGCAAGGATGTAAAGGAGCGGCAGGCAGGGAGCCCTCTGAGGGTGTCTGCAAGACCACAGTGACACAGCAACAAGCCCCCACCCCCGTGAGTCCCTGCAGTTGAGGCAAGAGTTGGGCTGCATAGAAGAGGTGGTGTGATGGGAATGGGGCCAGCCACGCTCTGCAGGGGGAAGAACGGGGCAAAGGTGCATAATACCAGGGAAGAAGAAATTAGCTATGTGCCCTCAGGAGTGTCTCCTACTGTGGTTGACTAAGGGCAGGAGAAGGTGCTAAATGAAAGCAATGTTTTTATAATTACCAATAACACCGTCTCCAGCAGCTATCATACTTGGGATTCCCGTTCGTGGCCATCACTTCCAGAGTGCAGTGGTCTGCACAGTCCTTCCAGGATAATTTCAGTTTTCATTTCCCTTGAAGTAGTGCATGCATACGGGGGTGTCTCACCAGGCTGCGAGGACTTGCCGTGAACAGCCATGGACTCTGTGGTGCTGCCTGTCCCCAGGCCCATCCCAGAAGCAGCTTCTTTCCTTTGTTTCTAGATTTCGTACCTCTGATGGTCACAACACTAATTCTAAACATTATTCTTCTACTTCTTGATTATCAGTCTCACACAGTAGCTACTGAATCATCACTGTGTAAGGTAAAAGTTTGGCGCAGCTACATATGGGAATGAACTTCTTTCCAATTTTGAAAATTACACTGTCCTTTTTAGTAACTTACCTTTTTACTTGAAATGATGCGCTTGTACCCTTATTTCTTGTCTCATTATTATTCTGAGACAGAGTCTCCTTACATTGCTACTGCTAGTATCCACTTGCTGGGATCTAGTGATCCCTTTTGTCTCAGCCTCACAAGTAGCTGAGACTTCAGGTATGTGTCATCATACCCACCTGATCATTTTATTTTATTTATTTATTTATTTACGTATGTAGTACCGGGGATTGAACTCATGACCTTCTGCTTGCCAAGCAGGCGCTTATGCCACTGAGCTATATCCCCAGCCCCTGCCTTGTCATTTTAAACTGAGCATTTCAACTTCTCTTTGGGTGAAATGAAAACATTATTATTTCTGTGCTTTCCTGTGCCTTTTCATCTCTCTTCCACAGTGTTACTTTTATATTATTGACATTCACATTCTGGAACCAGAACCAAGACTTTCATGTTCTGTTTACAGGTTGTCCCAAACAGTTGAAAACTATTGAATAGCATTTGTTTTGTTGTAAATGTGTAAATATGTTTCTTTGCAAGGCCTTCGATTATATGTTTTGTGTGTGAAGGTTCAAGATCATGGTGGGTGTGTAGCTTGAAGGTAAAGTATTTGCCTAGGACTTCTTCCCAGCATGGCACAAATCAAACCAAACCAACTTAAACTAAACTCAATACTATAGCTGTTGGAAAAAAGCTGCAGTATCAATGCTAAATAGATTCTATTTTAAAATTTTCTATAAACCCTTAAAGCATATCAAATTTTAGTTTTCAATTTTGTTTGCTATTTGGAACACCTGTGGACATTTGCTGATTTTTTTTTTTTCCTCCTACAGCTTATAGTTTCCTCTCCTCCTCCCTTGTCCTATCCCTTCCCCTCCCCTTTACTCTCTCCCTTCCTCCCTTGTTCTTTCTTTCTTTCTTTCTTTCTTTCTTTCTTTCTTTCTTTCTTTCTTTCTTTCTTTCTTTCTTTCTTTTCTCTTCCTTCCTTCCTTCTTCCTTCTCTCTCTCCTCTCTCTCTCTCCCTCTCTCTCTGTCTGTCTCTCTCTTTCCTTCTTTCTGGTATTGAACTTAGGGCTTAGCACTAATGTTCTACCACTGGGATACATCCTTAGGCTTTTAACAATATTTTTAAATTTTGAGACAGGGTCTTGCTCAGTAGCCCAGGCTGGCCTTGAACATTCCTCCTGCCTCTCAGGCTCTGGAGTAGCTAAGATCACTGGCTTGCATCACCACTCCTGGCTATAATCACTCTTTCTTTTACTTGAATGTTGGGCCTTTGAGAATCCTTGAGTGTATCCATTCTCTCAACTGCACGGTTGGTGTGTGGAGTCCCACTTTCCCAGACATCTCTCCTCCATGGCCCTTTTTCTTCCCTCTTTTAGGCTTCATGCACAGATGTCACCTCAGAGCTTCACTGTAATGCTTTACTAGTTATCACCAGTATTTCTTTCCTTCTTTTGGTCTCTTTTCTTGGGGTATACTAATAGTTTCTTTCACTGCTGTATTGGTGTAGATTGGTATACAACAAACCACATATTTGAAATATACAATTTGATATGTTTGGACATAAATTATATCTGCAAAACCATCACTGCCATATAAATCCTGTGATGAACATTTCCATCACCTGCTAAGGTTATTTCAGGCCCTTTGTCATCCTTCCATTCCCACTTCCTGTCCCTCCATTCCTGTCCACTGACCCCACCCTCAGGTAGACAGTGACCTGCCCTCTGTCTCTATGGGTTACCTTGGATGTTTCAGACTTTTATATAAATAGAACAATACAATATGTGCTCTTTTTTTCTGATTTCTCTTGCTCAGCACAAATTATTTTGAGAATCATCCATGTTATATTACCAAGAGTTCCTTCTTTTTATTACAGAGGAATATTTTGTTGTATATTTATACTACAATTTTTTTATCCATTAACCTTCTGATGACCCCCTACCCTAGCTTTTAGAACATATAAAGCTGCCATGAATGTTCTTACACAAGTCTTAGAAAATCCAGTGTAAGGGGAAGCCAAACCACTCCTGGATCACAGCACACACCCGCCCCCGCTCCAGGTCTGGCATACCTGGACCATCTTGGGAGAGCTTTGGGCTCTCTGAGGCAAGGAGCCAGCTCTTCAGTGGAGGTCTACCTCTGCAATAGTCTCACAATCACTCTAGTCTCCTTACCAGGAAAAGGAGCACTGTGAGTAAGAGACACAAAAACCAAGGCTTTGGAGAAATGGAAAGCCAGAGAGCAGGCATAAGAGACAACACTCCAGCACTTGGGAATTTGAAAACAACAGCAAGTAACCAAGGCCTGGGAGTGGTGGGACCATGGGGAGAGAGGTTTGACTGACCCAGAGATAATTAGCAATCCATTGCTCCCTAGTATTGCACTAATGGGACATTAGTGTGTGCCCATGGGGAAGCCCTGGGCGAGAAGAGGGCAAGGAGCCCAGGGACTGCACCAAGTTCATGAGAATGAAGCCCTTGGGATGAGTGAAAAAGGACCATGAGGAGAAGGACAGAGAATGGTGCTTGGGTCAGAGGGCTTCTGCTAAAGGTTTGTGGAGGGAAGACAAGGAGGTGATTGCAGTATTTGGCACACAGTGAAGGGAGCAAGAGTTAGAGGTCGCTGGCAGAAGTCAGCAGACAGCCAAGGCTGGGAAAGCTATACCACATCTGCCCTGCCCAAAGTAACTGAGGTGGTCAGATCTTGGGACAAAAACAAAAGACTACAGGTAGCCAAGCCTAGAGCACTACTTGCAAGCAGGAGGCTGGCCCAGAGGGAGAGCAGGATCAGCAGGTTTTCTTGCTCACAGGCTGGCATTTAAGTAAACAATGGGGCTGGGGAACAAAATACTTCCAGACCTTCCAACTACCCCAAAGTACATCCAAGGGGCACTGATGAGAAGGAAAGCAGTAGCCATGTGGCCAAATTGCTTGAAATAATCTAAGAAGAAACAAAGAAACTTGATAAGCTCAAAAATGATATAATCATCCTGGTACCAAAAAAAAAAAAAAAAATGATATAATCAAACAAACACTTTGGACTTAATAAACAAACTGATGAATGAGCTTAAAGAAGATTCAAACAAAAAATTAGAAGAGCTAACCAAAATGATTCAAAATATGCATGACAAATTTACCAGAGAATTACAGTCCATCAAAGTGCCAAACAGAAATTCTGGAGATGAAGAATTCTACTAAAAGTATGAGCAGCAAAAATGACCAATGTGAGCAGAGAATATCAGATCTAGAAGATAGATGCATGAGACCATATACTCAAAGATACATTAAAAACAATAAGAGAACAAGGAAAATTGATCCAACAGCTACTAAATAACACCAAAAAGACTAACTAGAGTTAGAGAAAAGTCGGAGGACAGCACTCATGGAACAAAACTATCTGTTCACAGAAATCATAGAAGAAAACTTTCCAAGTATAGGGAAAGAAGGGAAAGAATTCAATATACAGGTGAGTGAGTCATATAGAACCCTACATACCTATGACTAGAGAACAACCTCTCTATGACATTATAGTTAAAATCCCAGAAGTCTAACACAAAGACAGAATTTTAAAACCTGTGAGAAAAAAGCAACAAAGCACTTATAAACCCATTAGGATTACAGTAGGCTTCTCAACTCAACTCAACTTTAAAGGCCAGAAGAGCTTGGAATAAAGTGCCCAAGTTATAAAACAAAACAATTTCCAACCAAGGCTAATATATTCTGAAAAACTATCTTTCAAAACTGATGGAGAAATAAATACTTTCCATGATCACCAAGCCAGCACTCCAAAAAATTTTCAAGGACGTCTTGAGAACAATGAAGCCAACAATGCCAAAAAGGACAATGTAAAGGATATATTAAGAAGAATGAGCAATTAAACAAAAGGTGAGACTAAAATAATGAACAACAGAAAAATAATGCAGTGACAGGAATAGATCAATATCTTTCACTAGTAACTCATTATAAATGGTCTCAACTGCTCAATCAAAAGACAGAAATCAGGAGACTGGATCAAAAAACAAAACTCAATGTTATGTTGCATATAAGGGACACATCTAATCCAGAAAAAAATTCATAGACTAAAAATTATAGGATGGAAAACAATATTCCATGCACTAGGAGTCAGAAAATAGGCAGGAGTAGTTATCCCATTTTCAGACAAAGTGGATTTCGGGCCAAAACTGATCGGAAGAGGCAAAGGTCGCTACATATTAGTTAAGGGAACAGTTCAACAGAAATAGATAACAATTGTAAATATATATAGCAAATACCAGCACACCCAACTTTATAAAACAAACACTACTGGACATAAAAGATCAGATAAACATCAACACAGTCATAGTGGGGGACTTTAGCATCTTAGTTTCACAAATAGATCAACTAGACAAAAAAATCAACAAAAAATTAGTTGAACCATACCTTTGAACAAATGGACTTAATGGGTATCTGTAGAGTGTTATGTCCCACAACAGAGCACACATTCTTCTCAGCAACAAAATAGACCATACACAACCCCAAAAGCTTGCTTAAGTAAACACAAAAGAATTTATCTCATATATATTATCAGATCATAGCTCGCTGAAACTAGAAGTCAATGGTGAAAGAAACCAATCAAACACCTGGAGGTTAAACAGTACATGCTTAAATAATCAGCCGGTCAGAGAAAAAAACCAAGGAAGAAATTGAATAGTTCCTAGAATCACATGATATAACATATCAGAACCTATGGGACACACTGAAAGCAGTCCTAGAGGGATGTTTATTGCTATGAATGCTCATGTTAGAAAAAAAGAGTGAGCCCAAATAAACAAACTAATGATACACCTCAAGTTCCTGAAAAAAAGATCAAATCCAAGTTAGTACCAAGAAGGAAAGTATATATATCAGAGTGGAAATTAATGAGGTCAAGACTAAAAAAAGTACAAAGAATTAATGAATCAAAGAGCTGGTTCTTCAAAGGAATAAGCAAAATGGACACTTAGCCAAACTCACCAAAAGAAAGAAAAGATCCATATCAATGTAATTAGAAATGAAAAAGGCTAAATCACAATGAACATTGCTGAAATCCAGAAGGTTATTAGTAATTAGGCATTGGGTCCTGACTTTTCTTTAGGGCTTTGACTGTAAAATCAATTTCTTTAATAGATTCAGAGCTATTTGACTATTTATGTCCTCTTGAATAAGATTTCGTAGTCTATGCCTTTATCTAAATTTGCATATTTAATTTAAGTTGTTGAATTTACCAGCATAAGGTTTTTTCATGATATTAACTTATTGTTTTAGAATCTGTAGTGATGCTATATTTTTCATTCATGATATTGGTAATTTGTGTCTTTTATCTTTTTTTCCTGATCAGTTAGGTTAGAGGTTAGGCTATTTTATTTATTTTGTAAAGAAAAAATTTTTTCTCCATTTTTTATGTTGCTTCTCTTTGTTTTTCAGTCTGATGCTTATTCTTTTCTGCTTAGTTAGGGCTTAATCTACTCTTTTGTTCTAATTTCTTTTTTTTATTTTAAAAATAAAAGAAGGAAAACATTAACAAACAGACAACCATTTACAAAATAGCAAAAGAACAATACAAACAA